GTGGGGGGGGGGCATATTTAGCACAGAGAAGCTCTCCCCCCTGCCTCTCTGCCCACCCCCTCACCTCCCTCTTTCTTCCTCTGCTCCTCTCTCCCCCTCCCTCTCTTCCAACCAACCCCCTTAGGAAGAAGAAAGAGAGAAGGCTTGCATTTGGCCTCCACAGAGGCAATTTTAAAAAATCACTTTCTTAGTTGAAATGTGCACTGGCCAAAGCTAAGACAACTGGCAAAGGCGTGAGGAGGGCTGTCTCTAAGTTGGAGGAAGGAGGAAGGCTTTTCAAAAATGTTTTCATCAAATTCTGAGGGTAAGGTTTGGACCAAAATTCACTGACATTCGTTACAAAATAAGATATTTCTTTCCAGAGTTAATAAGAAATTCTTTAAAACATAAAAATAACTCTTTATCATTCGATTTTTCTAAATTGATTTGTAAGTAAGGTGCACTGTTTTTTTAAGTGAAGGACTGAAGGAGAGGAAAACCAAATGGAGTGAAAAGGAGAATCAACGGTACAAAGATGAAGCTCGGGTTGGCTTTGTGAAACCAAGGAAGTCTCTCCGCCTAGGGTGCTGGGTCCAATCTCAGGAGAACCATCTGCAGCCAGTGTGTTGTCTTAAATTCTGAAAGCAAACCTCAAAAAAACACAGAAGTGCCTCAGCACCTTGCTCCATTGCCCTACTTCTGGGCTGGAATGGCTTCACTCCACCATGGGGTCATCCTTTACTTCTCAGTTAGTTCTTGGAATCTGCAAACTCTCGTGTGCTAACGAGTCACCAGAGGAGCTTGTAGAAGATTCCTCTGCAGAGCTATCCGGCCTGTGGGAAGACCAGGAATCTGCTTGGCTCACAGGTCTGGCTTGGAGGAAAAGAGGAACACCTCACGACGAATCTTTAGTCATCTGCCCCGTTCCAGCACAGTGGAGCCTCTGAGCTGTAGATGGGCAGCTATAGCTGCCATGCATGCCCATGGTGGGGTGCTTTCAATAATGCTCAATTTATCATCATAATCAATCCACACATTAAATAAATGATGCTGACCGCGACAATATTTAGGAAGAGAGGAGCAGGACATGAAGTTTAATGACAGACAACTGATTTTTTTTAAATCATAATACTCAATAATCCTAATGCTCATTGATCTTAATACTCAATGACAAAAAGAAAACGAACAATAATCCTGATTGCTAATAACACCGAAGTGTGGTTTCAGTTTAAGTGCAATTTCAATGTCACGGAAGCCTCTTATTAGCAAATGTGAAGTGTAGGAATTGATGTAAGCTGTGCTCTTCCGAGCAGCTCCATGCTCCCTCTGGTCTTCTCTAGCTTTTACTTTTTGTTTGAACACATCCAAGTTTGGGTTTCTTTTTTTTTTTTCTCTCTCTCTATTATAATAAGCTCCACAGACCTTGTTCAACTCTGGTTTTAAGATGACCATAAAAAGGTGAAATATTTGCATTTTCATTTTTAAATCTTAAATTTCCATAGAAAGAAGATGTTAATGATTCTATAGGTGGTAACCTTTCCAAACTTTGACTATTTTAGCTCCCAGAGAAAGATACTTAAAGGAAAGATGTAGTACTCCCAAAAGGATGAGAAGTTTCTGCCTTCTTTATCTTTCTTTTTTTTTTTTTTGCACTTGATCCTCTAAAATACATTTAATGTAATAAAAGGGGGGCATTTAAATGTCACAGAGATGAGTTATGAAAATCTACAAAGATTTCTTAAGATTGACATTTTGCAGCTGGGAATTTTCTTCGCATGGCATTTACGGAGCAGTAACTTTTGTCTAAACCAAATGTGATCAGCCAGGTGAGCACCCCGTGGTCACCATGGTTGCCAGGAGCTAGGACACCGTCTCTTCTTTGTAGAGGTCTACAATTCAAGGACATAAAACCAACATTTAAAATTAAAAGTTGGTGAAGGAAGAGAATATTCAGACACTGGGTTGTGTGATGATGGCTGCAAACGCTGCTATTAGAGGAAAAGGAGAGACCAACAACCAGCAAAGCCACTGGGGGAGGAGCCAGAGTAAAGACCACACTGGCAACCTCAGAAAGGGGTGTGGAAGCAGCTGCATGCAAGAAAGAGGGGCTCAGGAAGATGAGCTTAGATATTTTGGGAAATCAACCCAGCCTCGCTGGGTCACGGCTGAGATGCCAATATTGATCCCTATGCTAATGGCGCTGAATGCTGCCTGTCTTATGCAGAGAGAAGCACACAGGGGACGTGCCTGGTGGGTCTGGGCACACCTCCAGAAGAGCAATCGAACCCCATGACTCAGAGGCAGGAAAGAAGCAGCCCCACACTGGGCTGGCGTCAGCATCTAGGAGTGGAGCATGGTCCAAGGCAGAGCTACTGGGACATCAAGAAGTTAGAGTCCAGACCACGAAAGGAGGGGTCTTTCTTGTGCAGCAGCAAGATAAGGTGACAGTCACAGGAACGGGACTGGAGGCATGGGGACCTTACACTCGAAGGAAAGACATTTTTACTCCAGGAAGCCGACGGAAGCCCAGGAGCTCTGCGTGGTGGAAGGGAAGAACCCAGTTTCACATTCAGTCCAGGGTCCAGGGACCCCCTAGCCCCAGATTTGGATAGTAAGATACACTGTGGCACCCCCACCACCACCAGTGAACAGCCTGCCTGGACACTGGAGGCTGCAGGTGACAGAACAGAGCCTGGCACCAGGAGAACTAAGGAGCAACTTTAGAATGTGGTGTGGCAGCAGGCTGCATGCAAGAAAGAGGGACTTGGGAAGATGGGCTAGAACATTTCAGAAAATCAACCCCGCCTCGCTGGGTCACGGCTGAGAGGCAAATATTGATCCCTAAGCTAACGGACCTGAAAAAGTCATGCTCAATGAAAACGTAATGTAGGTACAGTAAAGGACACTCTGAAAATCAACTGTTCTTCCCACTGTCTTATTTCTTTATATCCTAACTCATTTTTTAATGATCCAAGAGGCTTACAGAAAATACATAACACTAAATGGCAAAATGCAAATTTAACTGAACATCAGAGGAAGGAGAAACATAACCTGAGGTTAGAGTGTGTAGGAGAGATAAGTGGGCCCTCAGGTCCCTGCAGCTGCCACAGGTGAATGGTCACTTTGATCCTGCATCTCTGCATAGCCCTTTCCAACAGGAGGACGACGGAGGCTGTGCACCCGTCAGCCCCAGGGGTGTCCTTCCTTCTGACATGCCTTGGTCTGTCCCTGGCCTCTCCCTCCTCTATACCTTCCCTGCCACAGTGAGTGTCCCATAGGAGATGGATTCTGGCTGCTCTACATGGTACCCATGGCCAGGAAGCAATCGCAGGAGCTGGAAGCCAGACAGGAACGAGAGGGGAAGGGTGGGCAGATAGGGAGAGGCGGACCAGACTATTTATTGCTGAGTTAAAGTCCTGACCAAGAAACCAAATAATTCATCAAGAAATGAATGAGATCAAAAAAATATCCGTATAGAATCCCAAGGCCTAAATTGCTGACCTAGATATACACCCCCCAAAACAAGCAATGACTGTTGTGCATGGCTTCAGGAAACTCCCCAGCCAAACAGAGAGGTCAGCAAAAGCTCCTGTCCTGACTATTCCATTGGAACTTTCTCCCCTTTCAGTACTGCCCACCTCACTTACAATACTGCCCACTCCTACCCCAACTAGAGTGTCCTGGTGATGTTCCAGGTTTTCAGGAACACTTCCCCCCAAATCCCTCTCTCCACCAGATGTGCAAGATGAGACACCCCAATCTGACCTAAGTTATTTTTAGAACTTATGTTTTGAAGGACAAGGCTTATAGGAACAGAAGGGAGGGAAAAGATACCATTCCAGAATGAGAAAACAGAGGTTCATTAAAGACTCCAAAGGGCTACCCGAAAATTCACACCAAAGACCAGAAGATTCCCTCCATTTCTTTGGAGGATGAATGTAGAATCCAAAAAAACAAGATCCATACCTTGAGCACCTCACTTGATATAAATTTGCTCATATCTAAGAAGAGAGATAATACAAGGTAGTGAGATTTTCCAGGTTCTGTTATATATTTGTTGAAATTAAACGTCATTCCCAGTTGTGACAGCCAGTAGTAGGGAGCACTATTATTAAATTAATCACACAGAGGCCTGGGCCACCGAGTGCCACAACCCATCCCACACCTCCCAGGAGAACACTTTGCCTGCCTTTCTTTCCCTGGTGGAGTTTGCTGCTCCTTCCTTGAGTCCTCTGGCCACTTCTGCACATTCCTTGTCATGGCACTGGTCCCTGCCTTTCCCTGCCACCCCACGCACCTGGAGATGACACCTAAATCATCTTCACATTCGCAAACTAGAAAAGTGTCTGAGAAATAGAGGCTCGCAATTCCAGTTTTCTAACCTAACAGACTAAATATTTCCGATAGTCCTGCTGCCCACAAATGTAAGTGAATAAAACTAGATTAAATTCCTCAATACAGACTTAGGAAGCAGATAAACCTGTCAAAGGAAACTTCAGCGGATAAGCCAAGAACCTGAAAAGTCCTATGTCTTCTCACAGGATCACACACAAAGCTTAAAGCAGTAGCTCTATAATTTCTAGGGAATCAGATGCCCTTAAGAATCCAGTGAAGTTCTGACTCTCCTGAGAAAGATGCAGAGATGCACACAATACATTTTCAGGAGATCCACAGTATCCATGAAATACACCTTTGCACCCCGTGACTCCCCAAATCAGGGGCAATTGAGCCCAGAGTGCAAAACTTTTGCCTAAGAATAACAGTATTGGTTGGGTATTGAGAATTCTGCTGTTTTTAAAATATGCCTAAATAAACTATTAGACTCAAAAGACTATAATCTCCTCAGGACTGTAATTCCAGTGAGGACAAATGCACAGGTAAGTCCATGAAAAACTAAACCCCTGGGCCCATGAAAGACTATTGCACCAGGGAAGTCTTATCGCCTTAACAAGTTATAAGAGGAGAATCTCCGGGGATCATAAATGAAGTACCACTGGTCTGGATGGAATATTCCAGTACACGTATTGTTATAAGATAGACATAAAAATGTGCTGAAACCACAAGAAATCTCGGCACAAACATGTACCTGATAAAAGCCACCGAGAAAACAGGAGTTAGAAGCAGGAGAAGAGAAGGAGGGAAGAGAAAAGGCAACTGTAAGAAAGTAGAGCAACTGCCAAGAAGAAGATGAATGATCTGGCTCAAAATGAGAACAGTTTCAAAGAAGGGCAAAGGGATAGACTACCCGATCCAGCTCACAAGAAGTCTGGAGTAGGAGAGAAGAGTGCGGAAGGGAAATCGGTGTTCCCCTGAGCGAGCAGGTAGGCAGAAGCGTGGGTGAGACTGATGTGGCTCCTGGGGCTTCCGGAGCAAGGGGAGGACTGAGCAGAGTGTCCCAGGCCGCTGCGTGTGGGGCAGAATTTGTGAGAGTAAAAGGAGATTTGAGAATCCATGTGCAGTAGAGTCTTTGGCAGCCAATTTCCATATCAGAGACTCAAACGAGGAGAGTTTAAATGAGGACTTGAGGAAGAAGGGATTTGGGGGTTTGAGGGAGGGAGAGTCTGGGGTGCCATGCAGCTGGGGATGGGCCCGGTAGAGCGAGGACCACCAAGCACAAGTGAGGAGACCTGTCCCTTGGGGCAGGAGACAAGAGGAGGAAACGCCTGGGGAGGGGTCCAGAGGGGCTTCCCCCCGGGAGATGGTTCCCCACTCCTTCAGCAGCCTTCTCTCAGAGGTCACATCCCAGAGGGCTGCTTGGGCCTCGCCCCTGAGGTCACCCCTCACATCAGTGTGCTGGAGCCACTGCGAGTAAAAGTCTATTTACGCCTCCTAAAGACACGGAGTCACACTGCGCTTCAGGGAAACCCCATGAACTTGACTCCCTGGAAACACAAACTGTGGGGTACTGAGTCACTAGGCTAATGAGCACCTCCGATGCTCCCCACAGGGCAGACGGCGTAAACAGAGCTTGTTTCATTATTCACCCCCAAACAATGCAGAAAGCAAATAATAAATGTGGGAGAGATGCATTGAAGAAAACCAAAAGGGGTGATTGAGGAGAAGGCAGAGCGTGAAATCTGGTGGTCACTCAGGAGGGAACAGGTGGGTAGAGAGGACCCAGGGACCAGGGTCACACACGTCTTAGAAACTTCTCTGCTTTTTCCCCGAAACAGGATAAATGTGAGTAAGTCAATGGTCACGAAGGAAAACTAAGAGAGTTAACTGTGGGCACGCTGAAACAGGCTGAATCGCCCACATCGGGGTCATCTGGCCTGGGCCGGACATCACACGCTCAGCAGACGACTTCACAGGTGTGGAAGAAAGGACTGCACCACACCTTCACTCTCACCATGAAGGTCGATGAGCGTTGGAGGAGCTAGAGGTGTGCAGTCTGATCTAGATGCTACTCGAGGTATACGTGTATTGAAGTATCCTGCGGACCCCTACTCCTGTAACTTTTATGCTTTTATATGTATCGATTTAAAAAATAAATAGATTATACTCCTTAATTCATAATACATTACCATCACCTAAAAAATAATTAATTTTTAAAAGGTGTCCAAATCTACTGACAGCAAACAACCTGGTCTCCCCAAGACACAGAAGGGATCCTTCTGCCATATTGCATGGGATTACTGAAACGCCCTGGCCAGAGGTTAAGTGTATGGGGTCTGTAGATAGAGTGGAGAGACAGGAGACAGTCCACCCCTGTAAGTTTTCCAAGTTTCTTCCTAGAAGGGAGCAAAAGGGTCTGAACCACACCGCTCTGGAACTCTGCCCTCCCCTGACATGGATGTTTTCTTCCCACCTGCATTAGCACCAACCTGTCCGTCTGTGACATGAATGTGTCACTGTGCTCCGCAAAATGGTCTTTGCTAAAACCATGCCTAAAGAGCCCAGATTAGGAAAGTGAATTATTTTATTAAGCTCCTTTTTTTTTTTTTAGTTTTTATTTTTTAAGCTCCCTTTGTTAACAGAATAAAAAGAGCATTAAACACATGTCAATGGAGTAAGCATAAGGCTTCTTCCCTGATTACAAAAGATACATCTTGTGTCTTTACGACAAAGAGATCTTGTAAAGGAGGAGGCTGGCGGTGTGTAGGTGTAGCCAATTTATCACTGTCACTGTCGGGAAGCTGGCCATGGCTCCTCTGCAGGGGCTGGCGACAGGACCGCCCGCCACCTCAGGGAGAGGAGCAGGGAGGCAGGGATCTCTGCTGTGGAGCCAGGCTCTGCAGCAAACAGGAGCCCTACCAGCTCTAGCCAGGAAATCTAAGACAGCAGATCACAACATTTCCAAGTGAAAGAAATGGTATTTGGAAAGAAATGACATTACTCAAATTCATGGCCTCCCCGTGATAACCTAAAGTCTAATGTGGGGAGAAAGAGTCCCTCAATTTTGAGTATGTGAAATTAATGTTTTAAGATTATTCCTCTAAGGAATAATATATTTGGGCAGGAGTGTGGCTCAGTGTAGAGCACCTGCTGAGAGTGCATGAGGGGCCCCGGGTTCCAACACCAGGACTGGGGGGGAAAAAAGGAAAAAAAAATACCTCCCAGGAATAATAAATTTCAACCAGAGAGATCATTTTTTTCCTTAAAATTGCATTAGCAAAATGAGTTCAAACTGTATGTGAATTCACAGAATTTCTCCTATCTCAAAAGATACATTTATATTAATGCTGGTAAATCCCTATTAATCCCCACCTGCACCTCTGTCCGTCCAAACTTAAACCCATGTTACAACCAAAAGGGCATAAATGACAGCTAATATTTCAAACGGGTGTAAAGATCCCATGCTCTAAAGGAGGACGCTGGAATACCTGGCTGGACCCAAGAAAGTGTGAGCTGCAGGAACAGGTGGGGGCATTAGACTGGCGGGGGCAGATTCTACCCTTCAGCCTGTGTCTTTACGTGGCTGCTATAGATGGAAGAAGCTCTAATAAGGTCCCTCACATCAGCAAAATTAAGGGGCTAGAGTTACAAGTTCCAACTCGAGTAGTGCCCTGCGCCAGGTGAGGGGTGAGGACAAGTGGCGGAAACGGTCAGAATGCTAAGCCAGGGGAAAGGTCACCTACGAAACTGTCCAAGGGCAGCCCTCGGGAGGGGCATGGGTGGGACTGGAGAAGGGAACCTGGGGGCTTGGCTGTCTGAAGGACATTTCTACTCCACAGAGAAACTTAAAAACAACTCTCTGGGTATGTGACGAGTTCAAGGAGGTTAAATTACGGAGGCAAGAAAGAGTGAAAAGTTGCAAGAGGCCCATTCAGCAGTGGGTGTGAGGCCAAGGAGCCCAGAGGAAGCTGTAATCCCTCCTGTGACATCTGAGCAAGTGGCTCACGATACAGCCTCTGGAACCCAGAGCTCCTGCTTCCTCCACTTTGAGCCGCGCTGCAGATATTACAATAGAAATCCATTCTGATTCCAAGTCAAACCATATCTAAAATGGAGGGAAATAAATAGATATCTAAAATAGTTGATATCTAGAATTCATAGTATCTGAGCAAGATTTCCAGTCTATGTCCAAACACCAACCAAGGCTGCGCTGAATCAGACGTGGTATGGAGGAGACCGCCGCCACTCACCAATGAAGTGATTGTGCCCCAAAGTCAGCATCTCCTCCAAGAGGACAAGGCCCCCGGGAGCCTGGAGGGGGGTCACACTTCTTCCGTCTATGAGGGAGCACTGTTGAAACCCCGTGGCAGTGACCTTCCACAGCAAAATCAGAGAAGCAGTAGCATCTTGCCGAATTCTGAAAACAGGAATGATGTCATTGAAAATCTCTTCCAGAAAAATCCATCCCAGAACCAATTCGTCAAGTTAAAACTAAAGGCAGCATGTCCATCCCAGAGACGTGGGGAAGCTGAGAGAAGGATGGTGTGGACACTTGTCAACTTTGGGTACCCCCCCCCAAGTTTCCCCACATTTACTAGAAACGTCTAACTCCCACCTGCTTAAAACCACCACAGGGCAACTGAAGGGTGCCTCACCTTGGTAACAATTTTTTAAAATGATAAAAGGAGCACAATGGTTCTTTTACAGACAGACCACACAACGTAAAGAGTCTTGCTTAAATTTATCTCAAATGTGTACGGCAACTCAACACAACCCCCTGGGTTGTATTCACTGCCCAGATGAGCAAACTGTGTCATTCTCCCTGCCCCCTTCAGGTCTCCCCTGGTTTCTTGTGGATTTCAGGATACAATCCAGAGAATGAGCTGCCATCAAAGGCCCTCAACCCCTCCCTGCTCCGACTCCTGCACCTTATCCCAGTAACCCAGCGCCCCAGCAGGGAGGAGCTACCCTGTCTCCTCCCAGCCCAGTTCTCCCCCAGCTCCTCCATCTGCACCCAGGAAATACACAGCTGCTCGTTAGCAGCTGCCCATTCTCCCTGTGTCCCGGAAGGACTTGGTTCCACCTCTGGCTGAAGGTTCCCCGGGTGCTCTCTGCAGAGCTGTTCCCCCAATACAGAGCCCCAGGGGGCTCGGGAAAGTTTGGTAACAACTGAATGCAGGAATAAATTAAATGGTAAGGGGCTAGGAAACCCCACACATGGATTGGGGTGCCCACAGATCATCTGGCATTCTGACTTTGCTCAGTCTGGGTCATTTCCATCCAGTTCTACAGCCTAACAGGGTCTCAGGTTTGTTGAGTGAGAGGGAAAAAAAGTGTTTAGAGGGACAGAAGACCAGAATAATTCAGACAGGCTCATGAGAGCCAAGTAGTATCATCTGAGCAAGAAAGGCCTGGGAGATGGTTTCTTAAAAAGGAAACTAGTACACGAGTTAGTCAACAGCGCTCCTCGGCACTCCCTCACGCGGTTCTGGACCAGGGCTTTCAGCTGCTGTGAGCACCTAAAACCCTGAGGACCGGGGTCCCCCTGCTGGTGGAGCTGGGAGTGGCCTCAGACCCTCCTCCCTGCGGGGACCTTGCTCCTGTGTCCAAGTCCACTGCCCTTTCTGGCGCTTCCCCTACCAGAGGAACCTCAAGACCTGGGGAGGAGGGTGCAGGGGCACTGTAACCAAGTCCCCTTCCAGATGCCACTATTGGGAAAGCAAGATGGGCCAAAAGGACCCATATTTACGAAAAAGGATTAGAGTGCCCACAGTCCCTTAAAAGGAAAGTAATGCATTGAAATGGTTGATCAGGACCTCATGTCCCCAACCTTCTAAAATCCCCAACGACTGGACAGCAAATGTCCAGAGACTGCATGGGTGGTGTGAGGAGGGTGGAACAAAGGAGGACAGGCAGAGGGGGTGTCAGCCAGGCTGGACACTGCGGTGCTGGGTCTGCCCCCACTCCCCCGCACCGTGAGTCCCCAGTGCTGACTTCCCTGATGCAGGAAAGCTGATTTCCCACTGCCTCTCCTCCATCTCCCCCTGGGGACAGTTTGTGATTTGAAGAAGCTTAAACTTAAGACAAAACAAAACACTCAGTTGCTTGCTTTGAAGGAGGAAATTGTAATGTGAGAATTTTAAATTTGGGATAAATTATGCAAATGAATTTAACCAAATGTTCTATTAATATCTTAAAAGGCCAGTAATCCTGGAAGCCACAGTCATGTGGGAGATGAAGTACCTGGTTCCAGGTCTCATCGGAGGCCTCAGGGCTTTGTCCCCCCATTAGCCTCGGCCAATCCAGTCTCCTCCCTGCACATCTCCAGCCCCCTGGGTCCCAACTCTAAAGTCCTCTTCTGAGACAGCTTCCTCCAGGTTTCCAGCAGCATGGGCTGCGTCTACCTATGGACTCTGTTCATGATCTGCAGACCACTGCCCCTTTACAGTGATCCTTGCGCCTCCTGGTGCTGACAGGTACATTTGTGGGCACCACCCAGCACACAGGTGCTGGTACCAAGCTTAGCAGCTGTTCCGTGGGAGTGGGTGGTTTGGATGGCTATTGTGTTTTTTCAGGTTCTGGTGACTGGTTTTTTTTTTTTTTTTCTGCAGTACTGGGGATTGAATCCAGGGATGCTCTACCTCAGAGCTACATCCCCAGCCCTTTTTAATTTCTGCAGAGACAGGGTCTTGCTAAATCACCCAGGCTGGGCTGGAACTCTCAATTCTCGTTCCTCAGCCTCCTGAGTCACTGGGACCACAGGTATGCGCCACTGCGCCCCGCAATCTTAACAAATTTCCACCAAGAATCCTCTTACTTTACTGAGGTGTTCTGTGGCACTTCGAAGGACACCAGGCGGCCACCTGCAGAGCTGTTAGAGCTGGCATTCCCACAGGCGCTGTCGGGGACCACCTGGAGAAAAGGAGGACATGCTGTTGGCTGATCACAGTACAGGACAAGGTCGCAAAGCACAACTCCGTGAGCCACACCCCTGGGCCTCTCCAGACGAGCTGCTGTCCGGCTGCAAGGGACACATGCACTAGGCCTTGAAAGAAGAGGAGACTTTGCCCTGACTTTATGAACTGCAGCTCCCACAAGAGCAGTCTATGGGTTTCCAGGACTTTAAAAATGGATACATACGCTATTTTAGGAAAAGAGGCACGGTTTCACTCCC